TTGTAGGCTTCATCAGCGAAGAGTTTTTAAGGATGGACTTACTGTTGGAATGGGAGTCACATGCACTGGGTTCTATTCCCAGCTGTGCCACAGACTCCCTGTGAGAACTTAGGCAGGTCACTGCTGGCTTGAATTTCAGAGGTGCTGAGCACTCAGAACAACTCCCTCAGAAGTCAGTGGGAACTGTGCGCTCAGCACCTCTGAAAATCACTCCAATAATAGCTCTGTAGCTCGATTTCCCCACTTGTAATGCTGAGGATAATACTTGCCGATGGTCCCCATGAGGATAAATTCATTCATGTTTCTGAGGTGCACAGATGCGATGGTGAGGAAAGCCAATAGATAAACAATATAACACTGTTTCCAGGTGGGATTGGCACTTTCTAGTTACTTTGACTCCTTCCTCTGGAGATTGGTGGATATACTAACAGTAGTAGTAGTGGATATTTCCCAAGCAGGGATGTTCCATTTCCAGTCACTGCTTGGTTGAACCTCATGGTTAATGGATCAGATCCTGCGGTCCTGAGTAAAAAATGGATTAAGAACTAGTAAGATCCACAGCATCTGGTCCAAAGCACACTCCTAATTAGAAAAAATACTGCGATCAAGTAAAAGCTGAAGAAATTTGAAGCACTGCCTGGATCAAAGTCCCATTTTTATTCCAGATTAGACTTTTCGGAAAGATTCTTATTTCTACTGTAAACGGAGTGTCTCATTTTGTCTTATTCCAATATATCTCTGTGATTTTTCTGACCATTTAACAATAATAGTCACAAAATAAAATTAGTTCAAATTAGAAAATTTCCAGCAGGATATTTAATTCTGTACCATTAGTTGTCTCCTTTTTAGCGTATGGGCCAAATTCTACTTTAAATGGTTGCAACTTGACTAAAGTCAGAGGGCTACATCTGCTTACTCCAGGAGTGACTTTGGCTCTGTATGTCTGTTGGTTTTGTTTTATTTAGGGAGGTGCAGAATTGAGAGAGTCATATAGGGTAAACACATGGATAGGGAAGGGCAAATCTCTGAAGGTGGTTCTTTGAGTAGTGTCCCTGTGGGTGTTCCACTGGAGGTGCGGTAGCATCCCTGCACCTGGGATTGGAGATCTTCCCTAGCAGTGCCCGTTGGGCCATACAGGCATTCCTCTCAGTCTTGCACCATGAGCAGCATCTATTCAGTGTTGTGTGGTCCAACTGCCCTCAGTTCCATCTCAATTGCCTTGGTCTGTGACCAAATCCTTAGCAGAGTCTTGCATATGTCTTTACTGTCCTTCATAATACTACTGTTTTCACTACTATTTCTTAGTTATTAGCTGCTTTTTAAAAATTCCCTTTACCCCCTCTTACAAAAAATATCTTTTTTCCTTTGGCTTTTTCATCCCTATTGTTTTTAGATTAGCATAGGTTTCCTTTTCTATGCCCTTCCCTACTGGGTAGCTCTCCCTACCTGGGGCTATGCCCAGATCCTCCAGGTTTAAGAGGTGCTTCTCCTGTCATGAGGCTATCCCAGTGAGCAATGGCTACTCATAGTGCACACCATTTGGGTGAGAGGCACATATCACAGAAGTGCACACAATGTCTCAAATTGAAGGCTCGGTCCAGAAAGGACCGTGAATTGAGGCTAAAATTTTAATAATGGAGAACTCACTGCGACTAGCCTCTGACCGTGGCCCCGATACCTCTCCTTCATGGCAGTCACCATCAGCATGATCATCAGCCGACCCCTGCTCACCGTGCACCACAAAAAGAAAATCTTCACTCTCCCCGTCAAGTGGAGAAGAGACAGGCCTCAGTTCACTCACCAAGGAGCCACCTTGGAAAAAGGCAACTCCCACGAGGTTGGTAGTCTCGACATCTTTGGGGGCAAGACCTGGCTCCTGTGACCATCCAGACACTACTAGTCCCAGCACTCTTGAGGTCCAAGGGCCCTAAGAGGGCAGGACCACAAATAGACCCACAATCACTTGGGACTGAGACGGACAGATCAAAAATCTCCTTCAATGACTTTGAGTGCGTCAGCACCCACTGAGCCCCTGGCGCCACCTACTGGTTGTTCAACAGAAGGCATTTAACGTCTGCACCATAGCTATCCATTATGTCTGCACAAATACATATATAGCCATCAGTACCAATGATGTCCTGCTGGTATCACAAGAGTTCTGCTACCTGAGAGACCTGATCTTCTCTGACACTCCAGAATCACCGCTCTTCTGTACCAAGCTCCCAACAGTCCATGCCTCTCCCCTGGAAATACATCTGTCACACACTGCTCTCCTTCACCATCGAATACCGCACCACCCTTCTCCATTGAGGAAGAGGAGGAGGAGTACTCCATCATGCCTCACACCCCACAATCATCTCAAAGGGCTTCACAGAATCATACTACTGCCCTTGATACCTAGAGACCAGAAATGACACAAGTCCTTGTTATGGACATCCCTGGATGCAGCCCCAGGTGTCTGTTCCCCTACGCTGGCCTTGGGCTGCATATAGGTCATACTTTCCCAAACCACCTGCAGAGCAGAGACAGGGACAAATACACTCTCTGTCCTTGTCAGACTCTAGGCCTCTTACTCTGAACCAGAATTACTAGAGGAGCATGATGAAGAAACAGAGGAAGAGGTTACATCACCAGCCCACATCTCCTCGTCCTTCCCCAATGAGGCCATCATGCCATCACCTTCAACATCAGTAGATGATTTTAAACAGTTCCACAAACTGTTCCCCAGGATTGTGGATTCTCTCCAGATCCCCGTGGAGGAAGTTAGAGAACAAAAGCACAAGATGCTCGACATCTTGCAGGCCTCCACATTGGCAAAGATCGTACTTCCGATCAACGAGGCCTTGTTGGACCCGGACAAGTTGATCTGGCAAACCCCAGCATTAATACCCCCTACCTGCAAGTGAGTGGAAGAGAAGTATTATGTCCCCGCTAAGGATATGGCATTCCTATTTTCTCATCCTACTTCAAACTCCCTCATAGTCAATGTGGTGCAGGAGAAAGGATGACAAAACCATTCCAGGACAGCCCCTTACGACAGGAACAGGAAGAGGAATGGCTAATTATGAGGCTTTCCTAGCTAAATATAACCATATGAACTATTCCAAGTTTCATGAGGTCAGTCAACATCTCCTAGAGGACAAAAAGGAGCAGGTGGAGGAAGGACAGTGCTACAGGCCTCTCTGGATGCTGCGGACACGGTGGCCCGCTCCATTGCGGCATCTGTAGTGATGAGACGAGCCTCATGGTTCCATCTCTCAGGGTTCCCCAGGGAAGTGCAGACCACGGTGGAAGATCTACTGTTTGAAGGATCTAAACTCTTTGCCGAGCACATTGATGACGCCTGACATTCTTTAAAGGATTCTAGAGTGACACTGAGTTCTCCTGGCATATATACAGCAGTGCTGAAGAGAAGACAGGTAGATATCAATCTACTCCAAGATCTCAACCTCCACATTCCACCCTTCAATGGCTTTATGATACACAATGCAGGTGACAGAGACCTCCTCCCAAGCACAGACAGACATTGGCACAAGCAACTACACCCCACCCATCCACCTCTACACAGCAATTTTGAAAATGTGGTCAAGGCTCTGAGATGCCTCCCCTGGTCCAGTTGCTGAAACCATCTCCAGTAATCCATCAGTTTGGCAACCGCTTGACCCCATTCTAGCCATCATGGCGACAGATCACCTCTAACAAGTGGGTAATGGAAATCATCAGCAAGGGGTATTCTATTCTGTCCTCTTTCCTAACCACCCACCCCTCTTCCCCATCTCTCTTCAGGGACCCTTCTCACAAACACCTACAAGAAGAAAATAAACCACCTTCTGTGACTGGGTGCTATAGAACTGATCCCATTCCAACACAGAGGGAAAGGTTTTTATTCCCACTATTTTCGGATCCAAAAGAAATCCAGCAGATGAAGACTTATCCTAGACTTGAGGAACCTCAACAAGTTAATCAAATTACAATGCTTCAAGATGGTCACACTATCAACAATAATCCCAGCACTATAACAGGGGGACTGGGCCCTCAACCTCCAAAACATGTACTTCCACATCACCCTTCCCACAGCGATTCCTCAGATTTCATCTGGGGTCCGACCATTATTAATAAAAGGTTCTTTGACCTCTCTACGGCACCAAGGGTATTTTCCAAGATCCTCATAGTGGTGACGGCACCTTTGCAAACAAGGGATTGTAATATTCCCATACGTAGTCGACTGCCTCCTCAAGGTTCCCTCCAGATGAACCTTTTCTCAGACTTCAGCCTCCAAGTAAACATACAAAAATCGGTACTGATGCCAGTACAGCATCTGGAATTTAGTAGGGCCCAACTGGATGCTATAAAGGCCAGAGCCTTTCTCACAGTGCAGATTTTCCACAATAATCACCCTCATCTCCACTGTGAGAACCTGCCCATGGATTTCCACCAGGACTTGTCTATAGCTGCTTGGTCATATGGTAGTGGCCAAGTTCATGGTGAAACATGCAAGATTGCACACGTGCTGCCTTCAGGGATGGCTACGAACAGTGTACATACCCCACAGACATAGCCTCAACACACTGCTCTCAATACCAATCAAGATCAAGGACTCATTATATTGGTGGACGAAACCCTGAAATGTCTGCATGTGAGTCCCTTTCCTCCAACCAACACTGTCCTTGATATTGACAATGGATGCCTCACTGTTTGGACGGGGAGCACATCTACAAACTCACACAGTACAGGGCAAGTGGTCCCTGTCAGAATCCATGTTGCACATTAACCTTCTAGAATTACGTGCATGCTGACACTTTCTGCCAATAATCGACAAAGGACCATAAGAGTAATAACACACAACACCTCCTGCATGTTCTAGATCAACAGATGGGGGGTGGGGGAGGGAGAGAGGTCCCAATCCCTATGTACAGAAGCTCTGAAATTGTGGAACTGGTCTATCCAACATGGCATCGACATCTCTGCCACATACCTACCCACCTAAACACCATGGCAGACTTATTGAGTGGGAGGTTCTCACAGAACACGAGTGGGAGATGGACACAAGAACCCTACAACACATATTCAATCGCCCAAACATAGATCTGTTTGCCACTCCCAAAAACACCAAATGCCCACAGTTTTGCTCAAGAGCAGGTCTAGGTCACCAATCTCTGGGGGATGCCTTTCACATTTTGTGGGATGCACCCCTCCTCTATGCTTTCCCACCCTTTCCCCTACCATTCAAAGTGCTCAACAAGATACAAGTGGAATGAGCGAGGGTCTTCCTCAGAGCCCCATGCCATGACAGATATGGTATCCCAACCTCTTGTGCATGGCAGTCTGTCTACTGATTACCCTGCAGTCAACACCACACCTCTTCTCTCAGGAGACAGGCCAGATTCTCCATCCAAATCTAGAACTTCTCCATTTGAAGGCCTGGCTCCTTCATGGTTCCAGGATCCGAAGGTGACCTGTTTGGAAGGCGTAAAGGAGATTCTTTTAAATAGCAGATATTCGACAACTGGATATACGTACCTACAGAAATGGAAAAAGTTCTGGATGTAGTGCAACACCAAACACATCCCATCAGTTACCACTTCTTTACCAGTCATTCTGGATTACATCCTGGAACTCAAGAGATCGGGGCTATCCACAAGATCCATTTGCATACATCTGGCCGTCATTACTGCATTCCACTCCAAGATAGAGGGCAGTTGGTATTTACCCACCCAATGACAAAAAGACCTTAAAGGTCTCCAAAACCTTTACCCTGAAGTATGAGACCTCGTCCCACCTTGGGATCTCAGCCTCGTTCTACGCTGTATCACCAGCCCCCAGTTGAACCAATGGTGTCCTGCTCCTACATGTACCTATCCATGAAAACTGTGTTTCTCATAGTGATTACATCTGCCTGACGGGTAGGCGAAATTGGTGCCCTGTTGGCATACCCTCCCGTACACAATCTTCTATAAAGATAAGGTTACGTTATCACCTCACCAGTAGTCCTTACCCAAGGTACCACCCTCATTCCATCCAAACCAACCTATCCACCTTCCCTCCTCCTTCCCTGAGCCACATGGCAATCAGCCCGAGGTCAGATGTCAGACGGGCACTAGCCTTCTACCTTGACAGAACCAAATTGTTCAGACAATGGCCACATTTATTCCTCTCTATCGCTGAAAGATCAAAAGGTTCAGCCGTATCCAAACATCTTTTGAAATGGATCTCGGGGTGCATCCACCTTTGCTATCAACATCACAAACTTCAGCTCCCATCTGGCACTCAGTTGATCTCCACATCAATAGCTTTCCTGAATACTGTGCTGATTACTGACATTTGTAAGGCAGCCACCTGGGTGTCCACAGACCCCTTCAGTCATCATTAGGTGATCACCCACAACGCAGCATCAGGTGTCCTACTAGGACACACAGACCTGTCCTCGGTAGAGATCATTCCCAGCCTTCCAACTAGGGGCACTGCTCTACAGTCACCTACAGTGGAGCACCCATACCGCCACTACTTGAAGAAGAGAAAGTTACTCACCCTATGCAGTAACTGAGATTATTTGAGATGTGTGTCCTATGGGTGCTGCACTACTCGCCCTCCTCCCCTCTGCTTCAGGGTTCAAACATTGACTCTACAGTAGAAAAGGAACTGACAGCGGTTGGACCATATAGCGCTATATAGACGCCACTCTCGGCACGAAACGGGGAGGAGTGCATGTGCGGCCTAACGGGCCCTGCTACTGAAGATCTCCAATCCCAGGTGCAGAGACACTACCGCACCTAAAGTGGAGCACCCGTAGGGAAACACATCTTGAAAAACCTCAGTTACTGCATAGCATGAGTAACCTTCTCTTCAAAGGTTTGGTTCAGATAAGGATCTAAAATGCTAGAAGCTCATCTGACATTCTGCAAACTTCAAAAACAGCTTGAATGAGCTGTGCTGTGGGGGCAGAGGATTGTAATGATTTAATAGATTTTTAAGGCCAGAAAGGAACTTTGTGATCATCTAGTCTAACCTCCTTCATATCACAGGCCAAAGAATCTCATGCAGAGCTGGGACAGGGCATTCCTAGCAATTTTATTGAGACATGTCAAGGTTGCATAGCCTCTTCTTCTAATATCTGAGTGCAAACTTCATGTAATTCTTGAGAAATAATTTCTTTTCAAAACAAACACTGCAGTGCTGTTGTTCTTTTAAAAAAACCCTTGCTAGTAACCCAGCAATCATGAGCAAACCTTCAATAACATAGTAGCATGTACAGGCTAATACTCCCAAGCCACCCTACAGTCACCCTACATTTGTAGGGGAGGGAGGCGGGGTTCTAAGGTGCGGTTATATAAAGAAAAGAACTATTTGTAAAGCCAAGAAAAGCACTTTGACCTTTTCAAAGGCTTTTGGAGATTCTCTTGATTTCCTAGCCAGTACATGATGTGCGTTTACACTAGGAGTTCAATTTAATAACTGGTTTGCTTCTGGTTAATAAGAAGGCTTATGTCTCTCTGTTCTTAATCCCTGGGTGATGTAGGTTGCTCACGTGTCCACTGGCAGTAGTGCACATTGCATTGACATTAGTAGGTTAAAGAAAGCAATGTATTTACATACGTATTTGCATACAACAGCTTTCTGATAAATCTGCCTGTCACTTTCTTTTGCAGGGTGCCTTCTGGGGCTTGGTCATTGGGCTGCTCATTGGGCTGTCTCGAATGATTGCAGAGTTTTCCTATGGAACTGGCAGCTGTGTAAACCCCAGCAGTTGTCCAAAGATCATTTGTGGAATTCACTATCTGTACTTTGCTATAATCCTTTTTGGGATCTGCATCATCATCATCTTGGGCGTCTCACTGATAACTAAACCCATTCCTGATGTACATGTGAGTATCACTGTCTCTCTTGCTCTTTCACTTGCTCTCCTGCTCCCTGAGATACAGGAGATCTATGAAACCGATCACTTTAATTTACACTGAAAGTAGCATTAAGTATATTCTACCCTGGTATTTTACATTATACAAATTATATAGGATCCTTCCAGTTAACTGGGTTCAGAGAAAAGTTTTGCATCTTCCTCAAATTATTCCTTGCTCCAGATATCTCTGGAAATGAAGCATGCTCTGCTAGGAAAACAAATGTTTTGGAGAGTACTCTGTAACTACTGGTTTCAGAGTAGCAGTTAGTCTGTTAGTCTGTATCCGCAAAAAGAACAGGAGTACTTGTGGCACCTTAGAGACTAACAAATTTATTTGAGCATAAGCTTTCGTGGGCTACAGCATCCAAAGAAGTGGGCTGTAGCCCACGAAAGCTTATGCTCAAATAAATTTGTTAGTCTCTAAGGTGCCACA